GAGGGAGGGAGGGAAGGAAGGAAGGAAGGAAGGAAGGAAGGAAGGGAAGAGAGAGAGAGAGAGGGAGGGAGGGAGAGACAGGAAGGAAGGAGAGAAAGAAAGAGAGAAAGAAAAGAGGGAGGGAGGGAGGGAAGGAAGGAAGAAAGGAAGGAAGGAAAGAAGGAAGGAAGGTAGGGAAAGAAAAAGACACAGAGAGAGAGAAAGAGAGAGAGAAAGAAAGAGAAAGAAAGAAAAAACACGCTATGTCTGATTCTCCTACTGATTTTTCATGGTATAAGTATTTTGTCCACTACAGCCACACAGAAAATGCTATTACTGTCCCTGGAGAAGCCCTAATGGCAGAGAATTTTTATTTAACAGTCATTTATGCAACAAATATTTTTGAAGTGCCTACTAAGTTCCTGAGGCTGTGCTAGGTGCTAGCATAGATACATTGGTTATAGTTCCTGCAACCACAGAAGTCAGGGATGATTGAGAGAGAATGTATGATGATGCTCTAAAGATAACAACAGCTTCATCAAACACTAACCTTTAGGTTATAAAAAAGTATACTTTTCAGGGAACATCTGAAAAACATCTTGGCCAGAGTATATAAACGCAGTTGTATGTCAGCAAAGCAAATGATCACTCTGGGGAGCTATGCAGTTGTTCATCATTTTGGCCACGTCCTCCATAGAGATCTTCCTGCTGGTGGCCATAATCACAAGAGTCTTAACACAGACTGGTTATTTTCCACTCCTCATAAAGCCTGGCTAGAACTGCAGGAGCCAGAGGACAAAAGTGTGCTGATGACTATTTCCTAAGCTATTAAGATTCATGGTTGGCTCACTGATTTAACCACGTGTCACTCACAGTGGACATACACTCAGACAGACAGGAAGCAATATTAAATGTGGTCTTATCAGCTCAAGTCTCAACTAAGAGCCGACGTGATGGATTGTGAATATTTACAAGAGCCATTTAAGTGGGACAGCCCCACTAGATCCACTGAAATAATTGCTTACTGGCAATATACTATAATACATAGACCGAATTTTCCCTGGAGGAGTTATAAAAACCAACCACCCAGTAGAGATGGTCTTTAAAGGTCAAATGAGCTACCACACATCAGACTTCACCGGGAGACACTTAGGCTGGGTTCTCTCAATAGAGAGAGGTCCTTAGCAGAAGCTCTAATGGGCTCTCTAATTCCATTAAAAGTAAACAACACACGAATCTGCCTTTTCTGCTACATTGTGTTGTCAGCTCCCAGTGAACCTATAAGGGAGGGATTTTATAATAGGGTTGGCATTGTTTTCCTCTTGCGTAGCTGCCTGACCCACTGGCAAAGCACAGTTTCAGTACCTGATGGTATCAATCATAGTCTCACTGTGCTGCACTCAAAACCCAAATGGTTGAACTTTAACTGAAACTGGGGGTGGGGAGGAGTTTGGGAAGTCATGGAAGGACATTAAAGCCTTAGCTTGGAGACTGATAAGCATTTATTTGTTTCATCTTGCAAACCCAACCATATCTCAGCTCCATGCACAGCAGGCAAATGTGAAAGCAAATTACTTGGAAGTATATCTACAAAGCACTTGTTTGTAAATATGTATTAGAGGGGCTTAAGGAAAAGGTATAATTTCCTCTACCAAATGTTCATCCAAATGTCACGCACAGAAAGTTATTTTTCACTTCGGTGGAAGCCTTGATTATGTAAAAGATATATAAATGCCATAAACAATCTATCTGTCTCCCAAGCATTAAGAAAGT